AGGGTGGTGGGATTATGTTTTAGGGCCAGGGTTTAGCGGTGGGATGGCAGGGTGGGGCTGGGTGATCTCAAAGGGCTTCTCCAACCTCAGCGATTCTGTGATGCTGTGGGTGAGAGCGGGCTGGGACACGGCTCCTGCACAAACGAGCGGGTGACGGAAGGAGTTGGGCAAACACGGGGGGCCTGAAATGCTCTCGGTGTAGGGCAACTCCGAATCTAACAGGGATAATCTCCAGGGAATAAACAGCCAGGGGGCTGCAGCCCCTGCAGGCTCAGCCGTTCCCACCTCGTGGACGTGACCGCCTCGTCTCACGCCCTCTCCTTTCTCTCCTGGCGCAGATGGTGGCCTGGAGGAGATGGTGGAGGAGCTCAACAGTGGGAAGGTGATGTATGCCTTCTGTAGGGTGAAGGATCCCAACTCTGGCCTGCCCAAATACGTCCTCATCAACTGGGTGAGTGGGGACCCGAGGGGGACCTGGTGGAAATCAGTGACTGGAATCGTAGCTGCCACTGCTCAGTGGTGACGCTGCTGGTAATTGGCTCCAAAGCCTTCTAAGATGGGTGGAGGGAATCATAGAATCATAGAATGTTTTGGGTTGGAAGGGACCACTAGAGGTCATCGAGTCCAACCCCTCTGCAGTCAGCAGGGACACCGCCAACTAGATCAGGTTGCTCAGAGCCCCATCCAACCTGGCCTTGAATGTTTCCAGGGATGGGCCCTCCACTACCTCTCTGGGCAACCTGTTCCAGTGGTTTACCACCCTCATTGTAAAGAATTTTTTCCTTATATCTAGCCTAAACCTACCCCGATTTAGTTTAAAACCATTACCCCTTGTCCTAACGCAGCTGGCCCTACTAAAAAGGTTTTCCCCCTCTTTCCTATAGGCCCCCTTTAGGTACTGAAAGGCCGCAATCAGGTCTCCCCGCAGCCTTCTTTTCTCTAGACTGAACAAGCCCAACTCTCTCAGCCTGTCCTCATAGGAGAGGTGCTCCAGCCCTCGGATCATTTTAGTAGCCCTCTTCTGGACCCGCTCCAACACTTCCATGTCCTTCTTGTGCTGAGGGCTCCAGAGCTGGACGCAGTACTCTAGGTGAGGTCTCACCAGAGCTGAGTAGAGGGGCAGAATTACCTCCCTCGACCTGCTGGCCACGCTCCTCCTGATGCAGCCCAGAGTACGGTTGGCCTTCTGGGCTGCCAGGGCACATTGCCGGCTCATGTCCAGCTTTTTATCCACCAGCACCCCCAAGTCCCTCTCGGCAGGGCTGCTCTCAATCCTTTCTCCCCCCAGGCTGTATTGATACTGGGGGTTACCCCATCCCAGGTGCAGGACCTTGCACTTGGCCTTGTTGAACCTCATGAGGTTCAGTGGAAATGAGTGACTGGAATCGTAGCTGCCACTGCTCAGTGCTGACGCTGCTGGTAATTGGCTCCAAAGCCTTCTAAGATGGGTGGAGGGAAGTGCTTGAGGATCAGCAGGAGCCTGGAGCCCTCGTGGTGGGGCCGTTGTCCCTGGGCAGGAGGCTCCTCCTCTCCCCCTGGGCAGTGCTTGCTGCAGAGCAGGGTCCTTTTCATAGAATGGTCTGGTTGGAAAAGCCCTTTAAGCTCCCCCAGCCC